ATGCAAACCGAACAGATAAAATAGACGCATTTTGGAAAATGATGAGTGATTAGAAATTTACAATGTTGAAATGAAATTATTAGAGTTTTCGGTTTACAAAGCGTGCATTATACACACACACAAACACAATACGATTCAATGTGAATCGCGTTGTTCGTTCATTCGTTTGCGTACTCGCTGCACAATGCAACTCGTTTTCTTTATGGCAATGATTATCACTTTCGATTAGAAATCTTGCAGCAGAAAAGAAGAAAAAAAAAGCGAAAATGGCGTAAATGAATGAATGAAAGAAGTATGCGAAAAAGAAAGGAAAATGTGTGCAATTCAATTATATCTAATTTTTGTGGTGATTTTTCCAGCACACAACACAACTCAGCAAAAGCAGTGAAGGAAAAAAAAATTCCGACTTGCCCGATATATTTTTTCTTTTTTTACTTCTTTCTATTTCTTTCGTATTTTGCTGATTCCATCATTCATCTGCATCTCACGGGCGCACAAACAAGACGTTTTCGATTGGAAAATGTTTTTTTTCTTCTTTTTTTTCTCTCTTCATTTCTCGCATGTATTAACGCATTATTACGTTTGTTTGAGCATAATAAATGCATAAGCATATGCGTGTGCAATGGATGAATAAACGAAAACCGAAAGAAAACAGAAAGAAAGAAGAAGAAAAAAACATATGTAATTAATACGGTTTTGTTTGAAATATTGAAGTTACTAGTTCAGTCGTGCTTTTGTGCTGTGATTATGTAGCATGCTGCAATTAAATCTCTCACAGTTCGAATTAATGTGCAACCATTTGATTAAAACGAAGCAAACAAAAAAATAATAGAAAATCAACAACAAAATAGAGAAAATTGCAATGATGATTATAATGAAAATGAGAAAAGCCCATAGCGTGTACTTCACGCTTTTACATAAAAAAAAGAAATATAATCATGAAATAAAACACATTCGATTCCAAATGTGAACAATGTATGTTTTTTCTCCGCTTCATTCATTGAATCACTTGTTGTGATTTTTTTTTCGGGAAAATTGCATCGATGGCACAAAGATGGATACTATATTCCTCTTTTCATTCACAAGTATTCTTGCTGACGTCATATCAGTTCCTATCCAATAATATTATCTTTTGTTTTTACAACACTGTTGTTACTTTGTTGCTGTAAGCTTAACGTGATTTACTCGAATAAGACATATAGAGCTTGAAAGAGCTACCAAAATGGAAATCTAGCCATACAAATTGTCACCATCACCGATCGGTGGCATTTTCTTTTGATTAGAATTGATCGATATTTTGACAAATAGTCTGAATAAGAATCACATTCAATTGCAGTGCATTTGTTCTTCAGCAAGAACAAGACAATACTTACAATAACATATTAGAATTTTCTTCGAAATGAATTCGAGCCATTTTCTCACTCTCTCAAGAAAATGAATTTGCTCAAGCATAATCGATTTTATATTTAGTGCATTACATTGAAATAATTCTAGCCCATTTTCAAAATTTAAAGTAATTTTTCTGTACGAAATAAATGTACCTTGTCGATAAGTATTTCATGTTTCTTTTTTCGACAAAGAGCATTCTATTTACGAATGTGAAATCTAGTGGAAGCGAAAAATAGTTCCGTTTTATCGGTATTTTGGCCATGAATTTGTTTGGTCAACAAGCCAAGGGATTGTTTGGCGTCATAATGACCGAAAACGAAAATGAATTTACGAAGAAATTGAAAAAAAAAGTTTTTCTTTTATTGCGTGTGTGTGTGTTAAAGTTTCTAGATTATGGAAGGCAAAGTAGTTTTTCCTTGGATCAACTGAATTTCAATGTCTTGCTCTTGTGCGTCTAGCGTGTAGAAAAAAAACCATTCTCTAACATGCAATTTTCTCTCCATGCGTACCTCCTCTCCACTGTCATTCTCACTCTATCACTCTTACACTCAATTCGCGGTGCATTTTCAACTCTCACTTTTTTCTCTATTGCGCGCACACGCTCAATTTTATACGAGCTAGCACTAATGTGTGTTTTTTCTCACATGTTCCTTTCATTTGCGGAAAGAGCGTGCGCGCGCGAGCGCGCTTTCTTTTGTTGTTGTTGTTGCTGCGATAAATGGTTGCATGTGCACGGGAAAGTTGAAAGTGAAACTGTATATGAAAAAGGAAATTATTCCGACATATTTTCTGTTTCATTCATTTGTTGGCTCACTTATTCACTTGTTCGCATTTCATCTACTATTCTCCATCTTACTCAGCTCTTCTTCGTTTTGCTTTGTGTATTATTATTATATTTATTTTTTCAATTCTCCTTCATACATGTGTTTTGCTTCAATTCTTTGACATCGTATTTTTGAATTTATTGTGTGCCTGTCGCCTCAAATGTCTTCACATTTAAATTTGGTCATTTTTGTTGATTTCATTGCACTCGATGTTTTCTTTTGCTGCTTTTTATCTCTGTTTCTCCCTTTGGCTCGAGCCACTCGCAAATATTCTAATTGAAAAAAATTGAATAGCGCAAAAAAAAAGTCTCATAACTTTGAGATTTGGTGGTGTCTGGCAAATTATTTTCACTTCGATTTTTTCCGCATGTCGCATACACAATAAATGGTCTATAAAAAATAATCGATCACATATGATCGTGTCATGTACAGAAATTGTCATTTATAAAGATTGTTTTCCTTGTTTTCGTAATAATACAAAGTATTTGTTTCGTCTAATTTAAAAATGAAATCACCGAAAATGATACCGGATGATTGTGTCTGAGAAAGGCGACAATTGATAAAGAATTCCGTAGATTCATGCAAGCCGGTATGATTGCATGATTTTTTGTTCGGTTTGGTTTTTATTTCGACTTTTCATTAGAAAGATAGAATGAGAGAGGGAGAGAGAGAACAAACCGACAATAATAAATATGACGACAAATATAAACGGGGAAAAGGAAAAAAACCACAGAAAACAAATGGAATAGACAAAAAAGCTTTAAAAACCATATCAACGCCAACAATATTATCTGCACGATATAGCAAATCGCAATGTGCTTGAATATGCTGTAGAATACGACATGTAGATAAAAAAAGACAAAATAGAGTGTGAATGAGAGGGGGAGAAAGAGAAAAAAAACAGCAATTTTTGTGCAGTAGCGTATTTTCATATACATATCGTAAAGATGGCATTTATTTACGATGTGGACTTGAACAGAGTAACACATACAATCACATAGCACACAATATTGTTTGGCATTTTGTTGTTCTATTTACTCCGATATATCCATTTTATCACATATAAAGTCTCTCTTTAGCATTCTCCACTATGCAATCCGCGCGCACTTTGTGTATCAATTTGTTGTTGTTGTTGTAGTCGTCGACGTCATGTGAAGCTCAGCTTTTTCGACGGCACGGCCACCGATATGTACACCATACATTATGTACCACATTGAAATGGAGTACAACGGGTTTGGATGATGGTATCTAAACGTATATATCCGCAGACAGTGTAGTTTTGTATGCAAAATGATCTTCATGTACTTTTATACGATAGAAACAACGAGTGTAAGAGAGAAAGATAATATCTGTATAATATATTTCGTTTGTTTGCATGGTACAACAAAAATAGCGCGCACCAAATCATTTGAATTGCGTGGTATGGCGCTTTTGCAATGGGAAAAATCACGAAAACAAAAACCGAATAAAAATAAAATAAAGAATATCTATGTAAAATGTATTGTATATACAACAAAAGCACACTCTCTGAGCAGGAGATAATGTGCGAATTTGCTGTTCGGCTCTCCTGCCCGCCTGTTGTTATAACGGCAACCGACTGTTGAAATGGGATTCAACAAAACAAGAGCAAGAGAGAAAGAATGAGAAAGAGATCGTTTAATCGACACATCATACACACAATGTGTGTATCGTACAGACACACCGAATCGTCGTCCTATATGCATATTCCGAAAATCAAGAAGTTGAAGTTTAAAGCGAACGAACAAACGAAAAAAAACCACATAATATAGAAGCTCAGACGATATTATGCATAACATTGCACTCATATAGAGCTTATATATTTATATATACATATCGAGAGAGAGAGAGAGGTTTGCAGCGGCGAAATGCGATCAAGCAGCAATTCTCACACAGTCTCGCGACTCTCAAGATACCTATGCTCTCACTCTCTGTTGCGAGTTCCATTATATGGTAAAGTCTCACAATGAAAATCGCGTGTATAAAAGATATAGTATATATGACGGCGGCGGCGGTGGCGGCGGACAGTGAAATAACATGTATATATACAAAACAGACATATAAGCGAAAAATGCTTTTATTATTTCTTTCTTTTATTCAACTTCTCTCTCGTTATAAACTATACTAGCCGTATTAATATACGGCGGTGAATTTTCTGTATTCGGTACATTGTGCGTTACCAATATGTGTGTGTGTGTGAGTGTTTGTGTGTTGCACATAGCAAAATATCAGTCTTTCTTGCTCTGACTGTCCGTTGTCTGTTGTTCGCCTCTTACTTAGTCTCGCATATCGCCGCCGATGGGCCGCCGCATGTATGTGTTTGCATTTAAACGGTGTATAAATATCTCTCTAACTTCGATGACTGATGTACATGTATGGTCTATGTAATGGTGCTTGTGTGCCAATCGACACGGTGCGTTTGGGTTATGTATGTGCATGAGTGTATTAGACAAGAGACTCAGTGAGTTTTTGTTTTCGTTTGTATGTAAATGGTTTGGAAAAGTAGAGGAAGGTCGGTTCATAGCTGTCATACTTGTACTATTTCGTCATTCCGACTCGAGAACGAATCGGGCTAACACGCGTTTTCGGATTTCTACCTCAATTTTTGCTGTGGTGTTCATACACAACAAGAATACTTTAGAGATACACAACAAAACAAAACAAAATTAATAAGAAGAAAAAAAATTATTAAATAAATAAATTTAAAACAAAACATACACACAATTTAAAATAAAAACAAGAAAAAATCGTCTAATATCTTGCAACCAAAAAATCAGGTTTAAACACGACAAAAATAAAATAAAAAATATTTTGATAAAACATTAAATTAAAATAAAAGAAAAATAAATAAACGAGAAAAAGTCGATCGTCTTTTTAGTGAAGTACAACACACATACAACACCCGACTATATCGTAGTAAATTATTTTAAAATAATGTATTGAAAACGGAAAAAATTTTCGCCAAAAAAAACAAAAACAAAAAAAAAATCAATCAAAAAAGCCACACACAACTGTTATATTTATTTTGGAACACGAACTATTACAACATACCACATATTTCCTCACACATATTGTCACCGTGGCCCGTGAGATTTCGTTTTCGATAAAGAGAGCGCTAGATTTTGCGAGCCGTGCATGAACTGTTTTGAATTTATTTTTCCGTTTCGAAATATTTCAAATAAAAACGTAAATTTTCACCGGATTCCCTGAGAGAGGAGCAAAAAAGGGAGATCTTTCATTTACGAATATTACACAAATTCGTAGTTAGACATTTAGCAATACATTTCAAGCTCAGTGCAAACAAATAAACAATTTTTAATTAATCAACGATCTAACTTGAATGCAAAACTGTTTGATCAACAACGGTACAGCCTAAGTTATATGAAAGAAGAATTCGTAAAAGACACATCGAAAACAGTAAAGAAGTTTGGCGAGACAAAAAAAAAAACGCAGATTGTTAATTAGCCGACCGAAAACTGAAAGCGAAAAGCACCACAACAATCGGTACAAAGTTACAGCAACAAAAATTACAACGGTTCTAGTGCAAACGAAAGTGAAATTACATTCATATTTCCGCGGCGGCGTCGAGACGAAGACAGAGTACGAGTTGTAGTACGTTTATGCCGCAACTCTCTTACGCTGCTACAAGTGTTATATATTTATTTGTTTATGTTATATGTTCTTGTGAATAGATTCAAGCAAAAAGAAAATATTTCAACACATGTTATTGGCTTTAGCCGGCCCCAATGAGCCAACGAATTGAAGAGAGAAAGTGAAAGACAGAGAAAGACATTCAAGTAAAAAAACGACAAAAATAAAAAACAATAAAAAAAAATTGTGGCGAGAAGACACACGAGGGCACAGCATAGTACAACTTCATTCTCAAGTCTAAACTATTCGTGTTTTTTTCGGCTCGTTCATTTAGTGAATTTTCATGAGTCAAGTGCGACCAAAACAAAGAAAAATTATAAATAAAATATTTAACCCAAAACAAAGAAACACAAATCTAAATAGCTAAATAATTTAAATGTTATACTATTAAATGGTGATCGTCGTTTTATTATCTGTTGATCAAAGAAACACACAAAAACAAAGAAAAACTGATCTATGCAAAACAGCAAATCTAAATCAATGAAACTAGTACGAAATTCGTTAACAAAAATCTTGTAAAAATACTAAAACAAATAAAAAATAAAATATAAACAGAGAGTATACAATGCATTGAGCGATGTTAAATTCTTAAAGCGTATAAAATCAATCAAATTTTATGCATTAAATGTCAGATAGTAACATTTTGGAATTTAGTGAACTTTAAATTTTAAAAACATAAACAAACAAACACTAGAAAAAATTATTCTTATTATTGTCTCAGGTGAAATATAAAAACAAATTATTTGGGGGAGAGCATCAAACCTAATGTGTTTTGACCAAATAAAATAGCAACAAAATTTGTGCAAAGAACGGCAGTACGTGTGTTCATTTTATGACAACATTTAAACATACACACACTCACACACCGAATCACAAAATAATCAACGGTTTCAACGTTTTAAAACAAAAGTTAAGTTATCGCTCAATCTCTTTTGGGTGATTTATAAATAAATTTAACAAGAACTAATTATATCTAAAAGCGAACAATAAAAGAATAAAAAGAATTAGACGTAGAGAACGAAGCCAATTGCTAAAAATCAAATCGAGAATAATAAAACGGAAGAGGAAAGACAAACCACTAATCACTCTCACTGTCCCAAAGACAAACAAAGTAATATAAAAAAAAGTTGAACTATAGCGTTATTCTTATAAACAATGTCAGTGTAAACGAGACGTATTGGCAAAAGCAACTTCCAAAGCTCATCAATCGAACCAACATTTACACGAACCAGTTCACCAACCAGTGAATTAGTCAGGAAACAACAAACACGACTACGACGACGACGACGATATAATCAAAATGATAATGATTCAGCAACAACAAGTTTATCCACCTTTTGGACAAAAAATGGCAGCATCAGCAACCAAATCAGAGCCACTGGTTAAACAAGATGATGATACATCGATTGAATCGATTCCGACAACACCGAGCGGCGTTGCCGTCTGTGTTATCAAAGAGACAGAGAGTGTGCTCAAATCAAGTACAACAATACGGAATACAGAACGTTGCCGTTCTGAGAGTCCAGAAACCGAAATGACATTCAATGGTGTGATCAAAGGTACAGATTTACTTCGTACATTATCACCAAATTCGATTGTTACAAAAGCGGCAATAACAGCAATTGCTGCACCAACAATCACATCACAGCAATCGAATGAGCATAGTAAATATTTGGTGGCGAGACGTTTTATCAAACGCAGCAATAGCATTGAAGATGATGATGATGAATTATTTGATGCCGAAGCCGAAGATCGAATTATCAAACAATATGCACGACGTAAAAATTATGATTCCGAACCAGATGGACGTGACGATGAACCATCATATGATTATAATGGTCGCTATACAACCGATGATGATGAACCACTAGATTTATCACTTCCAGCCGATCGAAGACGTCATCACACCTATTCCGATACCGAATCAGACGATTCAGCCGGCACTGGTGAAGATAAAGCCAGCGGAAAAGCAGCTTATAAAAAGAATCTCATGAAACGCTATCGTAAGTAAAAAAAATAAACACACACACATTTATGCAGAAAAATATCTTATCATTATTTTGGAACAATTCGGAGAATAAAACTAAAGCAAAACAACAACAAAAAATTTACATAGTACAGGATAGCCGACATGAAGTGTTACAAAAAGACGAAGCCATATATTTACTATTATTGATCTAAAGACAAAAATGTGACTAAATATTCCACCTCTGCAACCATTTCAAAATTTAAATTCAATAGCGTCCACTTCAGGCTATGACGTCGGCCACTCTGTACATTGACATTGCCTATGATGTTACCCAAATGTTATTGTAAACATACGGAATGAATGTATAGGCTTGGCAGACAGATTATACTGTTGAATGAAATTTATGTTTGCGAAAAAAAAAGGTTGTTTCGTAAATATAACATTTTTTAGATTTTTTTTATTTATATATATATTTTTTTGAAATAAGATTAATTCTTTATCATAGTCTCTTGCTATAGTTGCAATATTCAGTTTCGCTCACAAACGGAATTTGTTCTTGTTTCTTCTAAAAATAGATTATTTTTTTTTACTATTATTACTTTTAAAAATTCGAACATGTAATATACCGTAACCGTTTTTTCGGCTCTTTTTTGCTCTGACCCAATTTTCAAATTGGAAAATAAAAGTGGCGACATCAGCGAAACAAAAAAAATAAACAACAATAACAGTAAAAAGTCGCTCGAGTACTTGTTCACATATTGTCTATTGTCTCTATTGATATTGTAAATGGGAAAAACCGCAGACAGTGAGCAATATTTGCCAGAGAAAGAGGAAAAGAAAAGACAGATCCACAATTCATAAGTTAATTAGTCAATTTTTTTTTTATTATTACACTGAAACAGATGCACTTGCTGTCGTAGGTTTTCGAGTTTTTTTTTCTCTGTGTGCTTTCAACTGAATTAAATCAGCCAATTGCCATTGTTACCACATAAGTGCCACAATTAAAAAGCATTAGATTATGTGTGTTTATCTGTCTGTCACCTCAATCATATCGTTCAAATACGCCCTGTAAACGCTGTTGCGAAATTGGACAGGAAACAAACGTATCGAATATGGATGAGTTACGAAAAGCTAAAAGGGAAATGAAAATATTGTAAAAATAGACAACATTACACATACGCAAGCATGAGAAATTCTTTTCAAACGGCCACAGACATCCATCCGAATATGCGCAATTATGTGTCCCATGCAAAGTCACGATCCAAATGAAAAAAAAGATCGAAACACATCTCGAACAAAGCAAAAAATACAAACCCACAGACAAAAAAACCAAGAAATTTCGGCGATTTTCAATAAGCGAATTGTTCACATCTTTTTATGTTTGTCTCCATTGTTAATTGCACTTCTCTGTCTGGAGTAAGCAATTGCAAAGACGTATGAGCAAGCGCGCGCGCGCTCGAATTGGATCAAAAACATGTACAGACAGTAAGTCAATCGCGGAATGCCTGTTATCTCAGTGTTTTTTCGTTTATTATTTGTTATTGTCATCATCGTCGCCCTCGTCAGAGGAGGAAGCAACAACGCGCACAATGTGTACAAAAAAGTTTACGGCTCATCTTGGGTATAGATTGTGTAAAGATCTTGCACATTTAATATTGAAGAAAAGCGAAAAAAACATCGTGTCGAAATCATCATCTGTTTTGGTGCGCTTCGATATATCGTGTAGATAGCAACATTTTTTTTTACTCTCTCGCTCTCACCTTTTTGTCATTTCTTGAAAGTATGCGTATACCGCCTTCCCATTTCACTCGATCATATTCTCTCTCGTCTCTTTTCGCCACATTTTTTTATATCTATTATAATATACAAAGACCAAAAGCTACATATAATACATTTTTATATAATTGTTGCTGCGCTTATCATTACGTGTATTTCTCAACACCACACAATTTATGGCACTCAATTTTGCTGCTGTATACTATACAGAGAGACAAACACACACACTATCTCTCTCTATCACGCTCAAACAGACGCACACATTGGGTGAGCAGGCGGGTGACGAGAGAGAAAATGTTGTTGTTGGTGCGCGCCACATAAATTGGAAATGTGATTATACGTATATATACAGAAGAAGAAGAGGAATAAATAAAAAAAATGTAAAAGAGCGACCAAGTGAATGTATTCGTACATACATTTTGGCAGACCTTGAACTTGAGACAGATTTTTTTCATTTCATTTCGTTTTATATTCGTGTATAAATAAAATGTGGTAGGACTCAAAAAAGACAGTTTTATCGCAAACATCGTCATTTTCATCAGTTTATATACAGTTTTTTTTGTTCGCTTCGATTCATTTCTATCGCCTCTCCTTTTTAACTTCTTTCTCTATTTGGTCTTTGCATTTTTATGGCCCACATCAGACTGACTTATTGGTTAAACACTTATACAAACTGTTTGGCTAATTCGTCAATAAACACTTGACATCACAGCGCATCACTTCCAAAACAACAACAATATTGAAATGTTTGTAATGAAGATAATGGATAAAAGGCTATAATGATAATGAGAAAGAGAGAGAAGGAAGTGACAATCGAGGAAGATGAAATTCGTTCGATGACTCTTCCTGTACAAATTTTAAATTTATTGAAAACTAGTCGTGTTGACATTATTATTCCGATTTTTTTTTTGCTTTTTTGAATCATCGCAACCAGAAACAAAACCAAAAAAAGAATGTTGACGTCACAGTGCGATGAAATGAATAAGAGAGTAGCATTTCCAGAACGCAGAACAAAATGGACAGTCTGTTTTTTTTTTTTTTGAAGCCGTATCGTATCGGTCAAGTTTTTGATAATAAAACCAAAAATATTATGATTTACGAAGAAAATATGTTTTTTTTTTTCACATGAAATCACGGTATTTCCGTTAAATGCACCATTTATTGTTTTGCGTTTCGAAATCTTCTTTTTTGTTTCTTAGAAAACATGTCTTTTTTGGTTTTTTTCGAATTGTGTTTTTGTTCGGAGTGACCGGGGTTTTTGCAATTTGTCGAAATTTCAGCATGGTCGACGGCAGTGTGAACGGAAACGATGTTCACTGGAATTGCGAATAAACACATATAACGGCGATGCAAAACCGATAAATTGTGCAAATTCGTTGTTGCCGCAATTCAATGTTATTTCAATTGAAATAATATTGGTTCCATCGTCGTTCATACACCTCAAAATTGATTGGGTATTCATTTTTAATGCGATCGAAGATAAATTAAAAATTTAGTTGAAAGAAATCCCCATTCGACACAAATGAAAGACAACGTTGTTGTCGTCAGTCGCGTCACTTGTCCTAAATTTGCGAAGAAATTTAGGGAAATAAGCACGATGTTACAGGCTTTTAGTACATAAATCGTGTATGCGGTGTGTGTGTAGCACTTGATTATTATATAAAATTCATTGACTTGACTGACTTACTCATAATGTTGTTTTTATTTCGTATACTCAAAATCATCAGGCTATTACACAAAGGGTATGCAACGTATAGTGCAACACAGCATATGTATTGTCGCTTATGCGCGCATAATCGCGCACACGTGCATCGCACATACAATAATATATTACATTCAGCGCATTTAACTTTACACACACACACATTTTATATATATAAATGAAAAAATAATAAAACTTACAAAAACAAAACTAAAAAAAGAAGAGAGAAAAAAATACGCAAATCGCAATGTACCATAAAATAAAATGCAAAATTCAGGACAAGGTCGAATTTGACCATATCTTTTGTCTCCCTCCGGTGTGCGGTCGGTTTGTTGTTCGTTGTACAACGCCGTTCTCTCGCATAGTGTGTGCACTAAACATGATTCAGAAAATGAACAAAAGCAACGGCAACAGCAATAATAATAAGCGCGAGAGCCAACAAATGAAAAGCAGAGAAAACTAAGTGCTTAAAATGGTGTGGCTTTAATATGTAATTCATTGGAATAGTGTATTGTAATGTAGGCTACGAGTTGGTTTTGTTTTGCGTGCGCGTTCACGCTCGCTCGCTCATTCGCCCGAGAGTAATATGTTTGTAATCGCGCGTCTCATGATAGTTTTCAAAGCAGAGGAAGAAAACAACAAAAAACCACAAACAAACAAACAAACACTCACATCACCATCAGGCAAATCTCGGTGCTTGAATATGTGTGTTTGGGTTGGGAAAAAAAGCCCAGATAATTTCGTTTTCTATTTTATGTGTGTGTGCGTTTTCTCTCTCTCTCTCTGTCTGTGTGTTCAATTATTATTTCATGATAACAACTGTACATTGAACAACTTGCACTTTTATTTGAATAGATTTGGTTTTTTCTCGTTGATTTTTCCATTGAATTATTAGTGTTTGCTATTTTTACATGAATGTCTTTCTATCTCCCTCTTTTTTTAAACGGTCATTTGCGCATTTCCTCTTACCGCCGTACACGGCTATCATATGCACATATACACACTTACACACCTCATTCATATGAACTGATACCAAATCGTCAGTTACATTTACACACATTTGGACAATGATATGCCCGCAAATGATTTCACCGTTAATTAAACCATCCAACTCTCTCAATACTTTTGTAATGTATGTGTGTGTTCGCGCGTGCACTCCACCAGAGACATCTCTTTCACTTTTTCATATTTAAGCGAGTTGTTTGTATACGAGAGACACTCACAGTCAAAGATCTTTCATTTGATTTGACATAATTGAATTACGACAAAAACAAAATTACTATATCAAAACGAACTTATGGAAAAATATCGATGACCTATTTAATGTTAACTAAATTGTAGACAATTTTGTTTAAATATCGTCAAAATTATCGGACATTTACTGATTTCATAGTTGCAATCCATTGAAAATCCATTCATCGATGAAGATATGATGATGGAAAATATTGTAAAATAAACAAACAAAAACACACACGCACACGTCACATTACCGGAAATTTGAAATATAAAATTCTTGTCTGTCCATTTGTGCAACACTGTTTTCCGACTAATTAATT